AGACGAGAAGGACAAAGGAAAACTGAAGCCCAACCTGGGCAACGGGGCAGACCTTCCCAATTACCGCTGGACCCAGACCCTGTCAGAGCTGGACGTGAGTGGCAGGGGCCAGGGGAGGAGGCTAGGGAGCCAGCTTGGGGTCCTGGCAGCCCCTCGTTGCCCCTCCTGACCCCTCTTGACTGCCTCTGCTCCATGCAGCTGGCAGTGCCCTTCCAAGTGAACTTCCGGCTGAAGGGGAAGGACGTGGTGGTGGACATCCAGCGGCGGCACCTCCGGGTGGGGCTCAAGGGGCAGCCGGCCGTCATTGACGGGGAGCTGTACAATGAGGTGAAGGTGGAGGAGAGTTCGTGGCTCATTGAAGATGGCAAGGTGGTGACTGTGCATCTGGAGAAGGTGTGCGAGGCCCAGCCCTCTCAGCCTGGGTGTCGAGGGAGGAAGAGGGGAGGATGTCTGCTTATTCACTCGGGGGCTGGACTTGGGGAATGATCTTATTTAATCCCCACAGTAAGGCTCCCTGCCCCCACCTCCCCAACAAGACTTTTTAAAGTAGGTCTGTCCTGGGGCTGGGTGGTTAGCTCAGTTGATTAGAGCGCAGCCTTAGAACACCAAGGTCATGGGTTCAGATCCCCATACCAGCCAGCTAGCTGACAATAAAAAAAAAAACCAAACAAACCCAAACAACATAAGTAGGTCTGTTGCCATTTTAGAGTCAGGAAAAGAGCTCAGAGATTTGCCCAAGCTCTTGTCTCTAGGAAGGGGCGGAATCCGGATTGAAACAGTCTTTGGTACCACAGCTTCTTCCTTTCCATTAGGTTTGTACATATGTTCAGTTCAACAGATGTTTGAACACCCACTCTGTGCCTGGTACTGTTCTAAATGCTGGAGAGAGAACAGTAAACAAAACAGAAAAATCTATGCCCTCAGGAAGGCTACATTCTCTACCTCATTGCCTTCAGAGAGAGATGTAACACGAACCTCAGTAACTAAAGATGGTCTCTGTAAAGGGCCAAGAGTCCGAGGAAAGCTTCCCGTGGCACACAGGCCCTGTCCCAGCCTATGTGACTGGCATGGCTGCCTCTCACTCGTCCTTCATGCCCTTAAACTTGCTTTTCTTCCCAGGTGGAATGTCCTTCCCTTTTTTCTTTTCTTTTTTTCCTTCCCATTTTTAATCTGGTATATCACTTGTGTCTTAAGTCTTAGCCCAAGTGTCACTTTCTAACTGCTCTCCTTCCACTCTGGATGACTGTCTCCCTCCATACTTAATTCCTTCCCTTATCCTGCTGATCTGAAACTGCTTGCCTCTGTGTCTGTCTCCCCCAGCCACCAAAAGGGCAGAGTCCTACTCATTGCATACTTGTCCTCAGTACAGGCCTGCTGGGGGCTCAGGTGCAGGGTGTGGATGGGAGAGAATTTGGTCGTGGAAGTGCTGAGGGACTGGAGCACAGCGTGAGCCATCTCCTGTCCCCTGGTTCTCCTGTTCCTCACAGATCAATAAGATGGAGTGGTGGAGCCGCTTAGTGTCCGGTGACCCTGAGATCAATACCAAGAAGATTAATCCTGAGAACTCCAAGGTGAGCCCTGACTGGTTAGGGAAACTTCAGCAGGGAGGAAGGGCCCAGGTGGTCCTGGAGCTTCACCCATTCCTGTCACTACCTGCCCCCAGCTGTCAGACCTGGACAGTGAGACCCGCAGCATGGTGGAAAAGATGATGTATGATCAGAGACAGAAGTCCATGGGGCTGCCTACCTCAGACGAGCAGAAGAAACAGGAGATTCTGAAGAAGTGAGCAATTCAGAGAGGGCCCAATGGGGAGGGTGGGTGCCAGCTATGTGTGGGTCACCAAGCAGGACTCAGGAGCTGCCCTGCCCCCTTCCAGGATGAGCCAACTAAGTTTATAGCCTTGGCTTATTTACCCTAATCACTTGCTGAGGTTATCTTGAGGGCAAGGCCAGCTCAGGGTAGGAAGGATGGGGTAACAGGCAGTCATCGCCAGCTATGGGAAAACAGTGCCAGTACTGGCACCTCAGCTTCCAGCCTCAGGGGCTCAAATGGGCCTCAGACACGTGGGATCCCACCCCTGCCCAGCCTGGCTCCAGTTGGCTCAGGGTTCTAAAGAGATGAGATCTGACATGGGCTAGAGAAAGGACTAGCTTTGAGGGAGAGACACAATCTGTTTCACCTTCTTCCTACTTCCCCTTCCCCAGGTTCATGGATCAGCACCCAGAGATGGATTTTTCCAAAGCCAAATTCAACTAGCTCCTGTGTTTGCCTCCCTGAACTGTGGGGGCGGGAGCCCCCAGCCATCTGGCTTCTTTTCTCACCCTTCTCTGGGCCTTGGGCCTGGGGCAGGCATGGGACTGGTTCAGGCATGCAGGTCCCAGGGCATCATGGGAGAAGGGCTGGGGCCTTGGAGGTCTTGTCCTCCCCAATTGGCTACTGTTCCACATTAAAGCTATTTACCCAGCTCTACCTGTGTCCTGTCTTCCCTCTGGCCTTTCCCTGGGGGCGGGCCTCTTATGGCTGCTGCGGAGATCTGGGTGTTGGCTTCCAGCCCAGATTCTGCCATGTGGCCTAAGGAAGTTCTTGCCCCCTCTAGGCCTCTTTCTCCTCATTACTTAAATGGAGGATTAAAACAAGGCTTTTAGTTTGTGTACGATTCTGAGCAAAGATGAGTTTTTCTGGGTACAGAGACCAAAACATATATGTACTTCAAAAAGTTTGTGGAGGGGCAGCCCCGTGGCTCACTTGGGAGAGTGCGTATTGCCAAGGCCACGGGTGCAGATCCTATATAGGGATGGCCGTTGCACTCGCTGGCTGAGCGTGGTGCAGACCACACTGTGCTGAGGGTTGTGATCGATCGCCTTACTGGCCAAAAAAAAAAAAAGTTTGTGGAAAAATAGAAAAAAACATGACATGAATCTTTCCATGAACTTTGTTTTTATTTTTAATTACTTTTTAAATCATTTAAAAATTAAGTTTAAATTTTTAAATTTTTCTTTCCATGAACTTTTGAAGTACCTTTGTAACATTCTCAGAGGACCATGACTCAGCAGTTGAAGACCAGCTGGACTTGTTGATTTGATTTTCATCTCCAAGACAGCTTCCCACTGCGAAGGGTGTGTTCTCCAGACCTGAATCAAGTGTTTTTCAAACTATGGACTGTTGTATCACAGGGGCAAAAGAGCAGCAAGGGCTAGGGTGATGTTGCCTAGCTCAGGGGGTGGGGGACCTGGCTGGGAGGACAGGGTCAAGTCCAGTGGGGTCCCATTGTTTGTGTTTGACTTTCACCTCTGCAGACCGTAAGCCGCCTCTACCAGCGTCCAGGGCAGTGCCAGGGCTGAGGAGGCACTCAGCTCCCTTCTGCCTGATCTAGCCCACAGAGCTGACCCCTGCCCCACCTTTGGCTAGAGGGTGAAGGTCTCTTGAGTGCAGGTAGCCACAGGAGTTATAGCAAGAATGTCTAGGCTGACTTGTCCTGAGGGCTTTATTTTGTGGACCATAGGTGACCCTTGAATTTCTGGAACATAATATGTCCTTTTTAGAATTTCAGAATAGCTTATTAAGGATTTCAAAGAGGCTGCATAGTACCTACCTTTGTCTGTTTCCCAAACTTGATAAGCCCTTTTCTCTGGGAATGGCAATAGTGGTTTGCAACACTGAGTTTGGAAGATGGTACCCTAGGACCAAGGATAGAGTGGAGGGACCATGGTGCCACACTCCTACTCTGGGCTCCAGCATCCTGTGGTCATTTCAGTCTGGTAAAGGCCTTGACCTGGATGAGACGGCAGAGCCTACGGAAAGGGGCCAATTTTATTGCTAGAGCTGGAGTTACAACTGGGCCTTGTGGTCATAGCCCAAGGGACCATTCTTTGTGTTGGATAGTAAAGTGGATGAACAAGTACAGTTGGTCTAGTTGTCACTTTCCAAAGGATGCCCATGGGAACAAAAAAGGGCTATGGGGGCGGTAGGTGAGGTAGGGGCAGGGGGATCCTGAACATCTTCAAGCTTGTTTGCCAAGAACGGGCTGGTGGGCCTGCCCTGGCCTCTGCCAAAAGAGGACTGTAATAGACATACCTGCATGTGAGCAGCAGCTAAGCAGGGTCCTTTGGAACCCAGTTGGGCCCTGGTGTCCAAATGAAGATCCTGCTTTTTTTTTTTTTTTTAAAGATGACCGGTAAGGGGATCTTAACCCTTGGCTTGGTGTTGTCAGCACTACACTCTCCCAAGTGAGCTAACCGGCCATCCCTATATAGGATCCGAACCCGCGGTCTTGGTGTTATCAGCACTGCACTCTCCTGAGTGAGCCACAGGCCGGCCCTGGATCCTGCTTTTGCCCCATGAGGTCAGCTTCCAGGTCCAGAGCCACAGTTACTAGCTGTTTGGTCACTCTGAGCCCCAAGCTCCCTCTCTGAAAGAATAATGACCCCACTCCAGGGTTGTTGGAAAGGCCAAAATAACAGTGAAAACCACAGTACTCTGTTAGCACCAGGGAGAGAGGTGAAGGGGAGCAGCAGGCCTGAGGCTGGGAGCTGACAAATGATCAAGGATTTGAGGAAACTGAGGGGTGGGCAGAAGCACATCAGCCTGCAGGTGGAGGACTGGGAGAGCAGGGGCAGTCCAGACAGCCTCCCTAGAAGACCCTCTCACCTGTGGCTGAGGCTGGGAGCTGACAAATGATCAAGGATTTGAGGAAACTGAGGGGTGGGCAGAAGCACGTCAGCCTGCAGGTGGAGGACTGGGAGAGCAGGGGCAGTCCAGACAGCCTCCCTAGAAGACCCTCTCACCTGTGGCAAAAAACTTGTCAAACCTTTCTCAGGTACAGACACTGTGCTTGGCTTTATCTCCTGGAACTTACAGTAAACTTGTTCCCATTTAACCTGACTTCAACCCCATGATACTAAGCCAGGATGGACACCTACTCCTGCTCTGGGCAGCAGTTAGGCAAGGCAAATGGGAGAGAAAGGACAATGTCAAAGCTGAGATGACCAGGCAGACATCTATGACCTTTGTACTTGCAATTATGGTCATGTTAACGTGTAGAACACCAGCCAAGAACCAGAACAAACTGCTTAACAGAACATACCATGGAGTGGGCACTGCCCACAGAATTCCATACAGAGAGACTCAGCCCACCCCTCAACCCAATGTGTAATATAAGCTGCTTTAGTTGTTGGATCCCTCCAGGGAGGAAGACGTTGCATGATTTGGTTTGGGTGGCATGTTATGGGGGTGGTCAGGATTCAATCCCAGAACATAATTCCCAAGTCCTTGCTTTCCACAATCAGGCCGCCTGAACACCACAGGAAGGAAGGAACAGGCCCAGGCAGGGGTCAGGCCAGCTGGGGATACAAGGGGATGAGGACACCATGGCCCAGTGAAATGCACGTGGTCCAGGAACCAGTCAGCCAAGGCAGGAGGAGCCAGAGTGGGTACTGGTTATGGGCTCATGGCCCAGCCTCCCCAAGAGGAGGTCCTGGTCTTCCTCTTCATTCTGCAGGCTGTGCTTCTCCCAGAAGAGGTCAGGGCTGCTGGGCCCAGTGGGGGTTAGCAGTACACCTGGAGCAGGGGTGCCCCTGACGAGTCTGTGTCAGTGCCCTGGAATGACGAGTCGTGGCTGGCTGGGTACCCTGGGGGGAAGGGAGAGGAGGAAACAGGCTCAGAGAGGGGAAGGAGTTCATCCAGGTCCCACGGCCAAGGAGAAGCCTGCTGAGGAGGAGCAGAGTGGGACGTAAGCCAGTGATCCTGGCGGGGTGACCCACTCAGACTCTTGAACTCTCTGAGCCCCAGCCTCCCTCTGTAGAAGGGTAATGACCCCACTCCCACGGGGTTGTTGTGAAGGGCAAGGAGACAGCAGTAGAAACCACACGGGGTGCCTTTTCAGCACCAGGCTGGATGGGCTCCCACCCTCCACCTTCCTTCCCAGTGACCTGGGCACAGAGGTTGGGGTCTGATCATTTCCAGCTTTCCTGTACTGGGCACCTGCCGCACTTTAAGCCAGCTTGCAGAATAGGGATGGGTCGGTGGCTGCTCAGGTCCGTCATCTCTTTGTAATGCCATCCTCACCCACTCCAGGCAGAAGTTGGGAGAGAGACATGTGAGGGGCCCCTAGGGTAGACCCCCACCCTCTGTACTCCTCTCATCAGGTCAGGACCACACCTGGGGCTCCGTAAGGCCTCAGCTTCCGGGCGATGGCATCTGCTGTCGTCTCCTGGGAGATCTGCACTGTCAGTTCTAGGGAGGGAACACAGTGGGGGCAGTAGTCATTTTCACATCTCTTCAACTCCACCCCCCACTTCTGGTCCCAGCCCAATGAAGGAGGGGCAGCTCACCCCTGGGCAGGGCTAGAAAAATAATGCTTAAAACGAAGACACATAGATAGTGTGCTTGTGCGCATGTGTGTGCGCGCGCACGAACACGCACATGCAGTGGTGGATGGATGGGGTTTTGGTTAGGCCAAGACATATCAGAGGTCCAAATTCATATGGGTCCCTGGGTCCTGTTAACCATGCTAGGCATGGAGGCTACACTGGCAGGTGGTAGCAGGGGAGAAAAGGAGCCTGTTAGGTGAGCTTGTTAAATGGAAAGAGAACTTTTTCCTTTCTGGAGATAGGAGCAACAGCCAGAGAGCTCCCAGGGTCTGCATGTTCCTCTCAACCTTTCTCAGACCTTACTGGGAAGGGCCAGGGTGGGAGTTGGGGAGGGAGGATGCAAAGAAGTTGAGAGACAGGAGGAGGAAGAGCAAGGACTGGCTGAGGGGTGGGCCCATAGTGGCCAAAGACCCCAGTCCAACCCTCTCTTGCTAGAGCCTGCCCTACGCTGCCCCTCAGCCCCATGGGGCCCCACCTACCATCCTGGCTGAGACCTGACCCCACCATGGTCTCATGGCCACTGTCAGGGGCAGCAGCAGTGGGGGCAACAGCCCGAGTTGAGCGCCCCTCGGAGGTCTGTGGGCGGGCACGGCTCTTTCGGGTACTGATGCGAATGATGCCGCGTACCAGGCGGCCCTCAGCATCCTGCTCGTCCAGGTGGTAGTCCTGGGTGATACTGCTGATAAGGTCCGAGATCTTACTGGTCTTCTCCAGGAACACAGTGTCTGATGTGCACTTGGCCAGCTCATCGATCTGGTGTACACTGAACAGCTCTGTCAGCTTCTTGAAGATGAGCACATCAATCTCTCGGCTTGACATGGAGCCACTGCCCATCTCAGGCAGGTCCAGGTCCGACTCATGGAAGGAGTAGTATTCCTCGGAGCCGCGGGGACTGCTGGCAAGGGTGCTGGGCAGGCTGTGCCGCATGGGTGTGGGCTCGGCCAGTGGCTCCTTGCAGCAGGAGTCTGCGTCAGGGGCTGGGGAGGTGGAGCTGCGATAGGGATATACGGGGATGCCTTTGAGCTTGACGTCAGGGTAGCTGAAGCTGCTGCCCATGGCTGACTTGAGCCGCTGGCCATCCCGCCGGTTGGGGGGGGCACGGTCGGGGCTGGGGGGCACTCCATTGTGCTCCTTGGCCCAGTTGGCCTCTGCAGCCCCCTCAGTGGAGTCCCCAGGAGACAAGCAGGGGCTGCAGCCCCGCGCACAAGCTCCACAGTGCTGGAGGCAATCCCGGCAGCGGCGGAAACAGAAGGCAGCCCGGCACCAGTCCCACACCCAGGGTTGCCAGAGTGGGCAGCAGGTGGGGGGCTCGGCGGCCGGCTCTGCAGAGCCGGAGATGAAGGTAATGCTCTCTGGCCCACGGTGACCAGGGTCCTTGGGGTCTGGTTTACGGGTGCGGTGGCTTGGTGGGGGCTGGGGTGGTTCATCATATGTCTCCAGACATAGTTCTGTTGGCTGCTCCCAGGGTCCCAAGCGTGGTGGCCCAGATGATGGGCGGGGGTGTCCAGGGCGGGGCATGGCTCATTGCATGGTTTGCTGCAGCCAGACACCTGCAGGGGAGAGGCCAGGAAGGAGTCAGGATCAGAGGTCAGGGACAAGCTCCTGGGCTGACCTGAGGAGCTTCTGACTTCTGGTTTTTGAGAAGCCCAAGAAGTGAATGGGCCCAACCAAGTATGCCTATAAACCCTCACCTATCGTGTCCCTCCTTCCCCAAAGAGGAAGTTCTCTCTGTGGTCTAACCCAGATTTCAAAATCTCCTGGGACTTCACACCCATTGGGATGGCTATTATTAAAAAAAAACAACGGTTGGTTAGAATGCAGCCTTGTAACACAAAGTCAAGGGTTCAGTTTCCTGTACCAGCCAGTTACCCACCTACGCCCCCCCCCCAAAAAAAAACAACAGAAAATAACAACTGTCGACAAGGAAGTGGAAAAATTGGAACCCTCGTACATTGCTGGTGGCAGCTGCTGTGGAAAACAGTATGGCCATTCTTCAAAAAATTAAACAGAATCACCACATGACCCAGCAATTCCTCTTCTAGGTATATACCCAAAAGAACTGAAAGCAAGAACTTGAAGATACTTGTACACCAGTGTTCATAGCAACATTGTTCACTGTAGCTAGAGGGTGGAAATAACCCAAATGTCCATCAACGGATGAGTGACTAAACAAAATGTGGTAGGTATACCCATACAATGGAATATTACTCATCCTTAAAAAGGAATGAAATTCTGGGGCCTGCCCGCCCGTGACTCACTCGGGAGAGTGTGGTGCTGATAACACCAAGGCCATGGGTTCGGATCCTATATAGGAATGGCCGGTTGGCTCACTGGCTGAGTGTGGTGCTGACAACACCAAGTCAGGGGTTAAGACCCCATTACCGGTCATCTTAAAAAAAAAAAAAATGATACATGCTGCAACATGGATGAGCCTTGAATACGTTATGCTAAGAGAAATAAGCCAGATATAAAAGAACAAATATTGTATGGTCCCACTTATATGAAATATCTTGAATAGTCAAATTCATAGAGACAGAAAGTAGAATGGTGGTTGCCAGGGGTTGGGGGCAGAGGGGAACATGGAGTTATTATTAAATGGGTACAGAATTTTAGCTGGGGAAGATGAAAAAGTTCTGGAGATGGATGCTGGTGATAGTTGCACAACAACAATGTGAATGTACTTACTGCCACAGGACCGTATGCTTCAACATAAAAAAGGTTAAGTGATAAATTTTATGTATATTGTCACAAAAAAGGAAGATCTCCTGGGATCTCACTTTCTAAAAAATGGTCTCCCCTAGTTTCTTCCTGCTGTTGGTAAGCCCAGCACAGAGCCTCTGAGACTACCCAAAAAATGCCTTTCCCTGTGACTTGCCTGATTATTACCACCTTCTTTTCCTTCCCCTTGTCCTTCAAATCAGACATGGGAATATAACTTGTCCCCTGTCAATATTTCAGTCTGATTCATATTTGCCCTCCTAGCAATGTTTAACACCAACCACTGTATTGCTTCTTTTCCTTTTTTTTTTTTCCTGGAATATGAGTTGGAATATTTTGCTTTGTTTGATTAGACAAGAAAGCTGAGCAGCTTCTTTACCCTTTTGACTTGTTTGCTAGGAAGCTCAGAGCTTAGTCTTCATTCATTCCATAAACATTGAGCCCGGCCATGTGTTGGATACTGTAGAACCAAAGATGAATGATCTGAAGACCCTGTTCTTCATGATTCACACAGGGTTTTGTAGGGAAAACATGCTAAAAAGCTTACAAAATGGAATATGGAGAATATATGAGGAATTATTGGAGTCAATAATTCTGCCTGAGGGAGTCAGGGAAGATTATGCAGTGCTGTAGTTGGGAGAGTCCTTGATCACATGTAGGGGTTTGTTGGGCAGTAACTCTCCTTTGGCTAGATTTTCTGAGACACTGATCCCTTATCCTTTAAGTGACTTTTTCTTTGGCAGCTGGCTGGTACAGCCAATTGAGCTAATTGGCCAGCCTGATCCTTTACCTTTTTAATCTCTGATTTAATGGTACTTGGGTCTTTAACTGGTGATGTGTGAGGAACATGGTGCTGGGCATCAGGATACCTGTGTTCTAGTCCCAATTCTCACCCTAATAGGTTATGTGCCTTGGGCAAATCAATACCACCTCCCTAGCCAGGGCTATCATCCTCTCTCACCCAAATACTGGTCAAGGCTCCAGTTGTGGTCACCTCCATTCCCTTCAACTTGCTGCAGCCAGTGAAAAGGTTAAAAAAAACACATATCTGGAGAAACCTGGCAGATACCACTTTAATCAAATGATTAAAGTTAGTATCACCAATAATGGAACAAACATATCATGTGCCTCCTGATACAATGCTCTAAGAAGGATACACCACCACTTACGAAGTATTCCTGCCAAAAATGCGTAACCTGGGCCGGCCTGTGGCTCACTTGGGAGAGTGCGGTGCTGATAGCACCAGGGCCACGGGTTCGGATCCCATATAGGGATGGCCGGTTCGCTCACTGGGTGAGCGTGGTGCTGACAACACCAAGTCAAGGGTTAAGATCCCCTTACCGGTCATCTTTTAAAAAAAAAAAAAAAAAAAATGCGTAACCTGAATATAATCATGAGGAAACATCAGACAGGCCCAAGTGGAGGAACATGATAACTAAATGCAGCATTAATCCTGGACTGGATCCTGGATAAGGAGGAAAAATTGGAAATTGGATAATGTGGATAACTGGTAAAGTTTGAAAATAGACTGTATATTATTTAATAGTATTATATCAATGTTAAATTTCCTGAATTTGATTACTATGGTTATATAAGATAATGGTCTTATTCTTAGGAAACATACACTGAAGCACTTAGGGGTAAAGGGTCATGATGTCTGCAACCTCATCTCAAATGTTTCAAACAATCAAAAACCCAGAAGGTATGTGTGGGGGTGTGGGAATGTGAGCCACTCGTGAATGGGGATAAGGAGGATACAGGAGTTGTTTTCTATTCCTACAACGCTCCAACTCACTCCCCTGGTCCTGCTCAGCACTCCTTCTCGAAGGATCCTCCAGACCCCTAGTCAGCTGGGAGCCCATCTCTTTCGGCTGGGCTGTTAGGTAGGTCAGCTTTGTACCCACTGAGGAAAAGCCTATCTCCCCAAGGACCATGACCCATGACCCAGAGGCACAAGGACTGTGCCTTATTCCTTGATAGTTGCACAACAACAATGTGAATGTACTTACTGCCACAGGACCGTATGCTTCAACATAAAAAAGGTTAAGTGATAAATTTTATGTATATTGTCACAAAAAAGGAAGATCTCCTGGGATCTCACTTTCTAAAAAATGGTCTCCCCTAGTTTCTTCCTGCTGTTGGTAAGCCCAGCACAGAGCCTCTGAGACTACCCAAAAAATGCCTTTCCCTGTGACTTGCCTGATTATTACCACCTTCTTTTCCTTCCCCTTGTCCTTCAAATCAGACATGGGAATATAACTTGTCCCCTGTCAATATTTCAGTCTGATTCATATTTGCCCTCCTAGCAATGTTTAACACCAACCACTGTATTGCTTCTTTTCCTTTTTTTTTTTTCCTGGAATATGAGTTGGAATATTTTGCTTTGTTTGATTAGACAAGAAAGCTGAGCAGCTTCTTTACCCTTTTGACTTGTTTGCTAGGAAGCTCAGAGCTTAGTCTTCATTCATTCCATAAACATTGAGCCCGGCCATGTGTTGGATACTGTAGAACCAAAGATGAATGATCTGAAGACCCTGTTCTTCATGATTCACACAGGGTTTTGTAGGGACCTTTCCGGTCGTCTTAAAAAAAAAAAAAAAAAAAGCTGCCAGCGGCCAGCTCCTTGGACAAGCCTGTGCCCAAGGAGGGCCCACGTTGGGAGCCCTGAATCTTCCAGGCACCGGCCTTGATCAGAAGGGTGGGTGCATCGACATTGTTCAACCACACTGAGCTCTGAGGTACCTCAGGAGAGTTTTTAAGAATATCAGGGGATTACTGATGATGGGTTGGGTCACTGTCTCCTCCCCCACCTCCAAGGCTTTAGGACTTGCTACTACTGATTAAATTCATCCAACAAATATTCATTGAGCACTAACCATGTGCCCAGCACTGTGCTAAATGCTGAAAAAAACAGCAATAAATGGGCCAGAAACAGGCTCCAGCCAGGAGAACTTTCGCTTTAACCCTCGTAATTGCTCTGTGAATAAGTGCTACACATTCCACTTTACAGATCAGGGATCTGAAGCTCAGAGAGGTTAAGTGACACCTGGCTGGAAAGGGATGGAGCAGGATTTGCGCTGCGGTCAGGCAGCTCTTGGAGCCCACTTACTTTGCTCCGTGCCATACATCTCCAATGGGGGTGGGAAAGGGAGAAAGGGAGCAAGAATGGGTAAAAGGACAGTGCCTGGCCTCAGTTCCCCCTCCCCTCTAGTCTCTGAACCCTCCTGAAGTCAAATTCTGCCGGTTTCTGCCAGGCTATATCTCCCCCTCCCTGCTGCTGCCTGCCACCTCTAAAATCCCAGGAACACAGGTCACTTGGTTTAGTGAGGGGAGGATCCCTGGCCCTGTTGTGGCCTGGGGCGAGACTCCTATTCTCAATTTCCTCATCTTCAAAAAGAGGAAAGATTAGTATCTTCACGGGCCCCTGAGACCTTTAAACAAATATTGCCTGCAGGGGGCTTAGCGAAGTGCCGGGCATCTGGGAGGGGCTCGGTCACCCGGTGCTCTAAGCCACCCAGGGATCTTCCCTGGGGTCAGACTGTCCGGCCCGCCCTCTCATTGATGCTCCCCTCTTCCTCCTTAGTCCCCGGGAACACAGGCACTCTCAGGGGTCTGTCTCTGTACCGTCCCCTCCTCCCAGAGTCTCCAGAACCAGACCGGCCGCACCAGCGTCTGCGCCACTCCCGTGCCAAGCCTCACACACCCGGCCGGGAGGGACACCCCTGCCCTGCTAACGAAACAGCCGTCGGCTCGGGCGCTGGGCATCCGTGCACCCCCGGTCTCCTGCCCCAAAGGCGCGGGCCCAACCCCCCGCACTCGAGGGCACCAAGTGCCGG